ATCCAGTGGGGCGTCACGACGATTGGCGCCACCGACGTCTGGAAGACGACCAAGGGTGAAGGCGTCATCATCGGCTCGATCGACTCGGGTGTCCGCCATACCCACGAATCCATCAAGTCCAAGTGGCGCGCGGCCAAGGGCTGGTACGACCCGTACTACCAGACGGCGGAGCCCAACGACTTCAGCGGCCACGGTACCCACACGATCGGTACGATGGTTGGCGACTACGGTATCGGTGTGGCCCCCGGCGCCCAGTTCATCGCGTGCCTCGGCTTGTACAAGGGCAGCGGCACGAACGCGGCTTTGATCGAGTGCGCCGAGTTTATGATGTGCCCAACCGACACGGACGGGTCGCACCCCGACTGCAAGAAGGGCGCCAACGTCGTCAACAACTCGTGGGGCAGTGACTCGAGCACCGACCCGTGGTACCAGGACGTCGTTGACGCGTGGCACAAGGCCGGTATTACGCCCATCTTTGCCAACGGCAACGAAGGCCCGGCCTGCGCGACGGCCGGCAACCCGGCTAGCTACCCCAACGTCATCTCGGTGGGTGCGATTGGGTCGCGCACGGACGACCCGACGCAGCTCGCGTACTTTTCGTCCAAGGGCCCGGCCAAGTACGTCGACCGCTTGAACCAGGTGCACACGATCGTCAAGCCCGATGTCTCGGCGCCCGGCTTCTTTACGTACTCGGCCGTCAACTCGAGCGATACGTTCTACGACTACAAGGCGGGTACGTCGATGGCGGCGCCCCACGTCGCCGGTGTCGTCGCCCTCCTCAAGTCGGTGCAGAAGGATCTGACGTACGACGAGATTTACCACTTCCTCACGACGACGACGGAGCAGTCGATTCTGCAGGCCGAGCCGGAGAAGTGGCTCCTCACGCGCAACCGCACGCTTCCGGGCGCGCCCAACTGCGGTGGTGTCGACGACAAGGTGTGGCCCAACAACCGGTACGGTTACGGTCGCGTCAACGTCGCCAAGATCGTCAAGGACGGCAAGCTCCCGTCCGGCCCGGCGACGCCCGCCCCGACCGCGGTGCCCACGCCGGCTGAGTTTTCACTCTGCAACTACAAGCACAACGTCCTCTCCGAGTGGAATGGCCAGCTCTTTGTCGACACGGAGAAGAAGAACTTGAACGAGAAGTTCTGGTACAACTTTGACGACAAGTCGATCCAGTCCCAGAGCAGCAACGAGACGTGCCTCGATGTCTACCAGGACGCTCAGGGCGCCAACAAGCTCCGCCTCTACACGTGCACGGGCAGCTCGGCGCAGAAGTGGGACTTTGAGCCCAACTCGCACAGCCTCCGCCACTTGACGGTGCGCAACCTCTGCCTCGAGTCGGCGCACGCCGCGCCCGGCGCTGCGCCATTCGTCGCCGAGTGCACGGGGGGTGTAAGCCAGTGGTTCACCAAGTGCCAAGACGCGCCGGCTGCCAAGAGCTACGTCAAGCTCGTCACCAAGGACCAGAAGGTTTTCTCCGAGTTCTACTCGGGCCTCTACGCCAACTGGGGCTCGGACACTGCCAACGAGCTCTTCACGTACGACAACAACGCCAAGACGCTCCAGGCGGCCAGCAACGGCGAGTGCCTCGACGC